TTCCTTACAACGGCGAGTGAGTGTTACTGTCGTGTGCATATTCGGTTTCCCTTGTTACTCGAGCGAGGTTATAGTAATGTAATTGATGAGTTATGCAAGCGTGCGCAGGTACCACTATGTTCTTCTGGAGATTAAGCTTGAGCGGGGACTAGTAACCGTCTTAGACTCGAGATGAAAAGATCCCGAAACCTATGCGGAAATGACTGAATTGCTCAACAAGTAAGTTCAATCGATCATTATCGCACCATATCGGCAATTTCTTGTTCATTTCTTGATATCTCAAGTAATAATTATTATTTTCTTTGTCTTGCAGGGTTTGGAAACAGTTCACCGCAGAAGCTCCGGGACTGTCGAAGGAGCTGCGATATACATACCCGAAAGTAAGTACTACTGGCTAGCTAGTTCCGCGCATCTCCCATTGATTCTATAGCTATACTTTCATCAATGCCATTTATAATGCTTCATTATCAATTTGATTGACCTCTATTTCTCGTAAAGTGCTTGTGGCAGGAACAATGGAATGATTTCTGTGGATACTACGTGTGCGAGTTCATCCACAACGCGACTTTCAAAAATAAGCAGGGATACTCTAAAAGACAACATGAAGTGCGTAAGCAATAATATTCACAATTTCATTTTATTACACCATCATTTCTGTTGAGTTTCATTCATATATATGTATTAATTAACCCCCTTCTTCAAATTAGACGTGGCAGATCTGGAATGAACTCCTAGAACCAGATCGCATGAAAGCAATTCAAGAGGAATTGGCGGGATTCTTTCTTGACCACGTCATCAATAAAGCCGGAGAATACCATGAGGAAGTTGATTTCAATTGCTAGGGGATTGTAATTAAGAGATCTTACATATTGTATATGTATGTAGCCAGTAGCGTCGGATAGATCATACGAAAACTTGTTGTTCGGCCAATCTCTCGGAGAAGGAGAGGTTGATCGATCACTTCTCTCGGTATGCATGATGAACTTCTATACTTAATGGTTCCCTTCATTTTTTTACTAGCTAGCGTGTTGTGGGCCTCTCTATGTATAGTACGTAGCGTCGACCAAGCACGGACATAAGAGAGGACACTTCTCTCTATTAATTAGCTAG